GGCCGGGGGACGGCGCTCGGCTCGTCGGGGCTGCCCGCCGGGCCGCCGTAGGCTACGGGAAGCGGGGTGAATCGAGTGCCGAGCGGAGGCGGCGCAGCTTGGTGACGTCGTCTAGCTGCGCGACGCCGGGAGGGTGATGGCGGCGGCGCGGCGCGGAGAGCCCCGGCAGGCGGGGGAGGCGGGGGAAAATGGAGGCACCGCGGCCCGCGGTCCCCGCCGAAAGCGGGTGTGGAGGCCCGTCTGGCAGCGCGGCGTCATGGGCAGCGTCCAGGAGGGTGAGCCGGGAGCGGGAGGCAGCCGCCGGCCGGCCTGAGGGGGTGTCGTGGCGGGGGGGGCGGCGTTGAGGGAGGTCTGGCTCGGCCTGGCCCCGCTCGTCGCGGCCCGTGGCCTCCCTCCGGGCGGGGCCAGGCCTACCTGCCTGCCTTCGAGGAGGCCGGAGACCTGTCCTCCCCCCTGCCGCATTGGTGATTCAACCTCGCCGTCGTCAGCCTCGTCGGGGCCGGTGGCTGCAAGGCTGGGTGGTGGCAGCCTGCCTGAGCCCGAGCTCCCGGGCCCCGGGATTGGAGAGCCTGCCCCTCTCCGGTGGCGGGCTCTGCCGGGTAGCAGTGGTTCTCTGTTTTAGGACTCGCTTTCCGTTTTCTCTGAAGCTGTATGTTTAAAATAAAAGCGTATTTGGAAACAGGTACAGCCCATTAACAGGTAGTTACGCAAATGTAAAAATGAACTGATAGGAAAAAGAGCATCGCCTCTTGCAACACTTTTCTGAAATTTCAACTTTGGAAATCAAAGGAAAAGTTGGGACTAATTTGGACTTGCCTTTAGAAACGGTTTTGTTAATGAATATTATAAAAGTCAGTAGCTCTTTAAGACTAATGCAATTAAAAAACATACTAATGTATTAGGAAAAAAACATGTTTAACTTAAGATTGATAAGTTAACTACTTATAATGATTGAGACAGAAACAGCCAGTCCTATGATGTAATGTACTTTTGAAGCTGTAGAAAAGCTCTTCCTGGACAGATGTAGAAAGAAAGCAGTAGCAATAACAATACTGTTTGTGGGAAAAGGCATGGTGGAATATTAATTTAGTATAATACAGTGATTTAGTGACTTTTTTTTTTCCTGTGGCACTGCAGCTGCAGACTACTTAAGCAGCGAGTATTATTGTTATCGTTGTCCTCTTGAGATTATCTTTAGGAACCTGTTTTGGAATTTATTTTGATGTTACTCATGAAGCTGTCAGAAATAGGAGAAAAGTGAAATGTTATTACATCTTTTCACTGTGTTTGAAAAGCATTGGCAAAGGTGTGTCACGTTGAGAGTGCGTTAAGTAGTATGTTTGCAATGGAGTGTTCTCTCAAGGGTTTAGGTGATAATTTTCAGTAAATCTGTACAAGTTGCAATGTGAGAGTAGGGAACAGATTTATAACAATGTTTTTTCCTTGATTTTTTGACCGGTCCTTATTAAAATAACACAAACAGTGGGGTTTTTTTTTCTATGTTGAAAGAAAATGTATTTAAATGGTCCTGGAATGAGTTGAATGGTTTGGTGCTGCTTCAGTGCACATGTATATAACTCCCTGTTTTCTTATGTTTTCAGGACGAGGATTTGCATTTCGGAGAAAACAAAAGATTGAGAGACAATACAGGAAATTATTGAAAAAAGGAAGAAAGGTGCATTCACAACAGAATGATCAGTTTACTGATACTTATCCAGAGCATTTGAAACATCTTTACCTAGCTGAGGAAGAAAAAATGCTTAAGAAACGGCGAAGGCCTCCAGATGATTCAGTTTCACCAGAAGAAAAACTTAATAAAGCAGCAGAGTGAGTTTTTTTCAAATATGTTTCTGAAAACAAGTAGCTGTTGCCATCATTAAAGAAATATATTTAGGTATTACACTTTACACAGACTTCAGTATGCTGATTTTTTTTTTTCTCTACTTTAAAAATTCCATTAGGTCTTAACTGTTTTTCCTAATTGTTAGAAGATTTAAACATACAGCTTTGATATGTTTACATCAGAATCAGAAAGCAAAGCTGATGATGTCTAGGGCTTGATTCCACAGAAATAATATGGCAGTTACCACTGTGCTTTAAATATAGGGTTTAGCCCAAGAGCATTTAGTGTTTGGCCAATTTCTTACCATATCTGCAAAGATAAGAGCCTGCTTTTCAGGCAGTGTGGTTTTGAATCTGCACAGTTTTCCTTTGAACTGATTCTCAGTATTTTTGAATTACTATCACTTTTGGAAATAGTTTTGGCATTATCTTTCTGTTCCCAGCTTGATAAGTTATCTTCATATTGCACTGTTTTTCTGCTAAAATGCGCAATACTGCGTGCAGTTACCCTTTTGTGGCATGTCTGGTTTTGGGCAGATTTTAACTGTGAACTTCAAAAAATAGATGACATGGATTTATTAAAACCTTAAGACAGTAAAGTGTTTTTGAGCAAGTAATAATTTTAAATAATACAGATGTCATAATAGTTTCTTAGTGTGTTTGGGGTTTTTTAGTTTGTTTTAAATTTACTTATAATAACTGGGAGAAGTGAAATGGAGCTTCTCACTTGCGGTCTAACAAATGTCAGACAACTTAAACCATTTTTTCCCTGTGTGACAGTAATTCCCCCTGAAATCTTGGTTGGGTATGTCAGTAAAATGAAGAGCGTAGTCACTCGGGTCTAACACTGTCATGGCAGTGTTTTTACACAGCATTCAAGTAGGATCATTGGTACCGTGGTCATTGAGATAATGTCCCTTGTCCTCCATACAAGGAGTGTCATAAGTCTTTGAATTTGCTTAGGAGAGGGGAGAATAACAGTCAGATCTAAGCCCAGCAGTGGGAGAATGGTAGAGTTTTGTCTGGAATAGGCAGTTAATTCGTGGGGATGTTTGAAATAGCAGTGATTTTTTTCCTAAAGCGGAGGGGTTTTTAATTTTGCTTCAACTATGGTCATTGTGATTGTAAACCAGAATTAATAAGTCTGCAAAAATGTGACCGCTAACTGATGAGGTGATGTGATAGAGTCTGTTAAATGGACTTTGGTTTCTGTGGGACTATAGGAAAATAAGACTTTGGCTAGGTAATTCTATTTTTAGCATATATTGCAATTTAAATAGTTTTGTCCTTGAGACGATAAGGTGTCATTACACAGTATTGTCACAAGATGGAGATGAGAATAAAGCAAAGATGATTTTTTTTTTTTTTTTCAGAAGAGAGTGGTGGTATTACTAAATGAAAGTATGAGGAAATACGTTCTCTTTCCTTTTTGTTCGTCTGTCTGAAATTCGTAGATAACGATGGCTGGCTTTCAACATTTTGTAGCCTGAGTAATAATCAAAAACTTATTTTGTGAACAGTTGTTAAATGTCTGGTAAGGCTTATATTTTTCAGGTGTGGAATGTCTTTACTACCACACTGTTTATGTAATGATTTTATCGTGAATCAGAAAAAAAATAATTTAGCATTAAATAACCAGAAAAATTCACTCAAAGTAGTGCGACAGTAAATGCCAGACAAATGGCACTGGTTTTCTTGTACTGATTTGGCAAAAGATACCTGGAAAGTTTTTTTTATATTGAAATTTGGAAGGAACATAATTTCAGTTCCCAATTTCAGAACATTAAGGATGATAATATGCCAACTCCTTCATGAAGAAACTTTTTGAAAGACATTGTTAGTACTGTGCTATTTAACCTTGCCATGTTAGCCTGACTTCCCTGGCAGGCAGTCTGCTCACAGCTGGCTGTCCTTGTATCCCTGCAGTTGCATCCATATGTCAGAACTAGGAAGGGATAGTACAGCTCGAAGCTAGCACATTCTGTTTTTCTAGCTCTGAAGAGCTCTTATGATGGGGGAAAAAAAACCCTCTTGTAGGCACTCTTTAAACTTCATGAAACTCATTGATGTTAAGATCCAGCAGATAAAGTATATGTGTTACTAAAAGTTGTGTGCAGTCCAGTCTTCGGTACGCTTGTCATTGGAAGAGTTTAGTCTGCTGTGTTTTCATGCTGGCTGCTCGTTACATTATATGTAATGGGGTTGGGTATGCTATGATAGGTGCAAATCGTATCCATTCACTCTTTCTGAAATCTGTATTTCTAATCAACTTCCACAAATATGCAAAAAACAATGAAAGAGTGGAATACTGTGCTCTCATTCTGCAGTGGCTACAGGATTTATGGTTATGCCTGCTTGGTGATAGTCCGTATCTGAAGTACATGTACTTTTTCTTACAGGTCAGTTACTACTGAAGGGAAATTTAAGAAGAAAACGTCCAGTCAGAAGGCAAAAGAAGAGTATGAGAAAATAAAGGCTGAGCGTGCTAGAAAGAAGGAGGTAAATGTTAAACAGAGATCTTTCTTGATTGTAGACAAAGACTAGATTAATCTATTTCTACCCGTTAGTCTTCCAGCTGTACCCACATAGGACCACAGGAGAGGAACACAAGTATTGGCATTCTTCCAGTCTTTCAGCATGACAGTAATACCCAGGCATGCAGGTGTTCAAAGTTATCATTCTCTTTGTTCTTTCTCCTTTTGTCTTGCAGTTGCCATTAGCAAGTTTCTATTATGTCAGAAAAATGTAGAGCTTCATCTGCAAGTTCCAGGGGATTATACTAGACCTCTTAAATATTGTAGAAGGAGAAGTAATAACAATACCATCACCTTGTGGTGAAAAATGAAATACCCATCCTCTGTATTATGGTATTACAATACATGCCATATAATACATATGGTATATACCATTTTACCTTTTTATGTGCTTTGACCAACAGTGAAACAATTAAATAGTATCCACAGCCAAAATCTTTAGTAAGTTTTTCTGTTGTTCTAATTTAATGGGACTTAGTCTAACAGGGTGAATCTTAATATTGTTGTCGTTGAGTTACTCATTTGAGAGATCCTTATTTAATGAGTTTTATTCTCCCCAGTACATTGTTTGTTGCACTGTAAAATGACACACATTGTAACATTGTGGAAGTTGTGTAACTTGCTGCTGACAAACTAAATTTCAGTAGCTACTGTATAAATACTACATAACTATATAGCTAGATAAAACATTTCTTCAGTTCAGCTTTATTGAAAACTTAGAGTAGTTTTATGCAGAAGTTTAAGGTCCATGATTCTGGGTGAGTTACACGGTTGTTCAGCTGAAAGCTTCTTTTTTAAACATTAGATACAGATTGTGCTAAAAGAAATTAATGTTATGACCATCTCATTTAGAGTAAATAGGAACAAAAGTAGCCCAGCGAGCCTGCAAGGAATTTGCTTTGAGCAACAGATATGAGTTGCCTGAGGGGAGGTGTTAGCATTTTTGGTCTTATTTAAGATATTTAGGCAAAACAAAGAGTAGCTAAATGCCACAGTAACAGTAAATCATTTATGGGGAATACCGATATGATGATCACATACTTTACCCTCATGTATGTTAGCAAACACTGGATTTGCTGTTATTTATTTGGGAAAAAAAAAGAGCTTAAAAGCACAGTTTTGGCCTCCACACTATATAAAAAAGCTAGGTTTTAGTAGAGATCAGAAAAAAACACAAATGTAAGTAACAACTACCTAAGTAAGATGAATGTTCTTGTCTTGAATAAGCATTTGTACCTTAAGTAGATGTTATTTACAACAGTATGCTGAACAGCAGTAAAATATTAGGAAATGAATTACAGGTAAGTTAGAGTTGATGCTACTCCAGTTTAAAACAAAAAAAGGAATGAATGATATTAATCATTGCTACAGTAAAATAAATGTTAAGTATTCTGAATGGAGAGACGTTATCTTTGCAAGTTTATTTTTTTGACTGAAGCTTCTTAGATTTCTATTCAGAAATATTTTCTTGTGTTATTTCTTCTAATTTTATATTCTACTTCACAGAGCATTCTTACTAATTTTTGTACATTCCAGAAGCTAGCTATGCCATGGAAAACAAAAACATAATTGATAAATTCTCATCTGTTTCAGCAGTCTGCAGAAACATCTGCCTTTTTGGTCAGCATGGCACTGCATTTCAAAGAATAAGCTTTATGAGAAGAAATCATCCAAATGAACTGAAGCAGTCCTTCAGTCTGATTTGTGGTGCCTTGCATATTTCAGTAGGACATGACATAAGTGAAGCAAGCCAGTTAGCTTGTGGATGTTTACCCAAATAACTTTCTAAAATTACAACACTAGAAGGGGGGGTGTATGCTGTTTGATAAAAGCTGAGCAAAATAAGATGATTATCCATATGATGTAAGTGCCTCCATTAGTGTTTTAGTTGCATGTGTACTGTCCCCTCAACATGGAATGTTTGTACAGTTGAAAATTTGGTTAGGTTTTTTTTTTCTCTCTCTTAGTAAAGATGGCAATCTGTTGCTTTGAAGGGGCCAGGTCACTAACAGTTCAGTCTTGATTAAATTGCCATAGGTAATGCTGCTTGTGGTGCTGTGCTAGTATCACAAGCCTTCCCAGCTTCAGATGTGCCCCATAAGCTTCTGCCGTTTCCATACAGATGTGTCCAGTATCCTAGCACATCTGGATTGGTGAGACATTTACATGGGGGCTGCTGGATCAGACTCGCTCGCTCTTGCATTCAAGAGCAGAAAGTGGGAAATTTTTTCTACTTTGTCACTTAAGGAGAAAAGTCAAGGAGCTCTTTTCACAGAAAGGAAGCAATGGATATTTTAGTGACAAACCTTATTGTAGGATATTCTACAGAAGAAAATTTGTCTCTCTTTTTGGAGCTTTGGGCAATATAATATGTTTTGATTGCAGTATGCACTGAGAGTCCTGATTAAGCTTTTAAGAGTAATGGTTGTTTCTAGTGTCAGTACAATACCTAATTTCCAGTATCTTCATAAAACTAAATGTTACTGTTTATACATTGCTTTGTAGTTGTAGAAGGTGTGTAATTATTTCATAAGCATCTGTTTAATTTCAGGAAGCAGAAGAGAGAAAACAACGAAGAGAAGAAGCTCAACGGTTGTACAAGCAAAAGAAAATGGAAGCTTATAAAATATTGTGTAAGAAGACAAAAAAAGGACAGCCAAATCTAAACTTACAAATGGAGTTTCTTCTTCAGAAAATACAGCAAAAAACATAGACCTCTGCATATATCTCAGTTGTAGGTTTTGAGTTACCTATGGACATTTTATTAAATTACTTTTAATAAATAATGTCTTTTTGCTTCTGTATGACTTTTGTCATTGTCTTGATTTGTTTCATCAGTCCAGTAGTGGAGGATATTCATCCTGAAAATATGTATTCTTTGTTGAGAAAGGGAACTGATACCTTGAAAATAAGTGGTCGGTATTTCTAAACTTAAATTCTTTTAGCTATATAATATCCTGAATTCCAAATTGTTAGAGCCTAGTGCCATCTGAACATGATGTGCATAGTGTAGAGCATTTGTTTTCTAGCTCTAACACTTCCTGCAACTGTGACTACTAACATTATGCTAACTTGAGTAAAAAGATACTACATTAGACATAAGTGATACCTCATGAACTGCCAAGGCTCAGAGGGTGTTTTGTGTGCTGCTGGGGTAGAGTTTGGCACATGAAAACAAAGAACACAAGCTATACTTGAATGCCTGTTACTTGTCATTCTCCACAAAGAGTAAATCTTATCAAACGTGCAAAAATGGTTTGAATGTAAAGATCATGTAGGTTTAACATAAACTTTGTGCTTGGTGTTTTATACCTTCGTGGTTTATTTTGTTCATAAGCCTAAGTATGACTTTCTGTCAGGTAGGTGGGTGGAGTTTTCATATAATGAGTATGTCAAGTTTCTAATATTTGTCCTTTGGAACACTGTAGATAAACTCTTAAATCTTGATTTGGAGGTTAATGATCTTTGGCCTAATAAAATGAAAGCATTTTTAGTAAGACTAATAAGTTTGCAATAAAGCAGGTTAACTTTTCATGAAGTTTATACAGGACACTACTACTAGACTTCTGCCTTTATCTCAGTCGACTTTGGCAGCCAAGAAATAATACTGAGATTTTTTTTTTTTTTTTTCCCCTGTATATAGTAAAGACTATTTAGCCATCTAAGTAAGGACTGTCTTGGAATAAATTTCTCAAGACATGCTCTGTAAGCATTGCATTACATTTACAGTATTACAGTATTAAGTTGTTTGCTATAAACTATATAATTTAGAAATTGATGCAAAAAATCCTTATTTAGTTTTGAATTATATGACAAGTGCTGTTAAATGAGGAATAGTTTAGGGGCCTAAAATGTTTCTTGTGTCAGTATCCTGAGGCTTTTTGAACCTCACCTTGTTACAGTTTTTGCAGGGCTTGTAATGTTTGTGCTGTGATGTCATTTAGGAAAAATGAATGCAGGTCAGAAGGTCACATCAGAACACATGTTAGTTTTTTTTAAATGGACATGTCCATTTTAGGAGAGAAAAGGAGTGTAAATGTGACAGGCTTATTCTGTTTTATACTTTCCCTTCTATACTTTTTTCTGATAATTGCTGTAGTTGCCAACTTTGAGTGGCTCTGTCCTGAAACATTGAAGAGCAGAAATCTGCAAGGTGCCCAGAAAGTGGGAAGGCAAGTTTTGGGATACACAGTTTGTTTCGATTCTTGTCATTCTGGGCTGTCACCTTTTATTTTAAAAAATGCAAACTGCAACTACTTGCAATTATATGTTTGGGTTTTTTTAAATCAATAGTGCAAAAGACTTAATGTTAGTTTCATGTAACTTGTAAATAACATGAAATATTTTGCACGTGGATTCCTAGTTGAAGTTATTCCATTTATTGTTTGTATGTGTCTGCTACTCTATATGATCTATCGTGATCTGGCTGAAGGAATCATTAAACACAAGTATTACGAATCGTCATCTTAAAAAAGATGTCTTCTCAGTTTGCCCTCAGTTCACTTTCATACCTCCTGGGCAGGTTAGACCAGTCTTAGACTATGCCATCCTAGATTGCTATAGATACTGGTATACAGTCTAAATATCAGTACACTTTGAGATATGGTGTTTAACTGTAATTAGATGAAGTTTGAGTGATGCATTTGAAATAGAAGTTGTTTTTTTTTTTTTTCCTCTTGTGTAAAATTGAGTGAAAACTTAACTATCAAAATATTCCATATGGTTGATTTCTTCCTGGAGAATAGGCTAGGTAATATGAGCTAGTAAGTTAATTACCCTTTTGGTTTTTTCACTCCTTAGCAACAAGAACTCTCTGCTATTGATCAGTGGAAAAGAACAGAATTCTGCTCTAAAAAGAAATCTCCGTGTTTCTTACTTGTATTATTCTCTGATCTTGTTTAAGAATTAGAATTTTGAGAGAAATTCAGAAGAGTATCTGTAGCACGGTACTGGTCATTCAAATTTAATCTTACTTCATTCTAACTTTAATTGTTGTCCTTCTCTTTAGTCTTGTTATACCATGTTCTTGATGACAGTTAATATGAAACAGACCAGGTTTATCTGATTTTCCTGAAAAGGCACCTGAAAATGCCTCCCTGTCCCCCAGTGCTTCAAATGACCTGATCAGGCAGAGCACTTAACCAAAAACCAGTGCAGTATCTGGCCTTGGCCCCAGCGTTGCTGGTTTCAGGGAGGAGAGGGAGTTCCTGTCGTCTCTCCCTGTCGCTTTCTCTCCTCTGTAGCTTTACTTGATTTGGAGATAAAAAGGGGCTGTGACTAAGCCCAGCTTCTCACAGACTCATGCAAGAGACCTGCCTTTCCACCAGAAGTTAATTCTTGATGTCGCAGTTCTAAGAGGAAGAAGTTAAAATTATGCATTTCCTCACACTGTCCTTTTCTTTACTGATTACTGTGAAGTAGCAGCCTAGGACAATCATCAGGAGAAGCTGGTGCGGTCCAGTGTCTCAGCTGCTTCCTGAGCCACACTCCTTTTCTATCAAGCCTCTTTAATTAGTACAGCATGACTGAAAGGCAGTGATACAGCAGTGATGATGCTGGGTGGGTCTAGGTCACACAGGCGGAGAAGGGAATTGAACGTTTGCTTTACAAATTAGCACTGTAACAACTGACCCATCATCTTTTTATGGAGAAAAGTGTGGAGAATGGAGGGAAGGAATGTTTTGAGGAAGGAAATAAAGATCTAATTACTTGTTTTGATCTGGTGATCATTAAGCAAGCAGTCCAATAGCAATTACATGAGTTTATGGAGGCTGCCTGTAAAAGCTGCTGCTTTTGATTTGAAACGTATGAGAAGTTAGTCCAGTGGGGTATTAGACTTCTAATAGTTTTTATTAAACTTTGCTGTGAATATGTGGTGAAGATGTTGAAATGTGAAAGAGAGGAGCATGAGTCCTGTTGCCATTCTGTTTGGTTTCTTTTTTTTTTTTTCCTAGTCACACACTCTACTTCTCTGTTCTCTACCAGTTTGTTTTCTATTCTCTGAAAGCCCTGTGATCTCAAGTAGTTATGTCTTTATGGTACATCCTCTGAGTGGAAGGGACAGGACTGCACAGTTGGAGATTTTATTCTTTAAGTTGGATAGTTGGGTAATGCAGACAACTTCAGACATATCTTTTTTTTTCCTTTCATTATAGACCAGTGAAGCTGTGAATCAGAAATAAGGCAGGGAAGAAAGCATCAGGTACAATACATTCATTTTCTCTTTTTGGTTCTGAGGAACAGAATGTGATGCTTCCCTTGCTCCTTTCACAGGTAACTTCTTGGCAAATCATAATGGTAACTTAAATGGATCATCTTGTTAAGCTGGCTTTGACAGTACAGGGACTTTCTCACACTGTACCCATCTCAAAAGATTTTCATTTTTTTGCCACTAATAGGAAAAATGTGGTGGTTTGGGCTGGTCTGACCACTGAAGCGAATGACAGAAACTCTACCTCAAAGCAGGACAAAAAGCGAAACAAAGCCTTTCATCTGTTAAGATACTAAGGCTTTGAAAGCAATGGGACAATGTAGACTTTGGATTTTGTTTGTCTTTACAGTCTGATAAATATGCCTGCCCGAAGAATTAGGTAAAGAACATGAAGTTAAAAACCGGATTGTAATCTTAGTGTCTATTTCTGCTTTCACAAAATAATGTTTTAAATCATTAAACAACAAATCTAGAAGCATTTTTTAAATGGATTAATGAACGGAACTGTTGTGAGCATAAGAAAAATAGAGGGGCGCTAAAATCAGTGATGACAGACAAAGCTCTGAAGTGCTAATTTTCCATAGACTTTTTATTAACTCATGCATGCCTTCTGGAAATTGCTGAGTGAGTAGTTAATGATGAACTGAGAGCCACACAGCAGGCTTGCTGACATTCCTATAAAGATCCTTTATGGATGTGAAAAAGGAGGAGGAAAAAAAATGTGAAGTTCAGTCTGAAATCTTGGTGAAATAATTGTTGGTCCATTCATAAAGCTGCTGTGTTACTGGACCCATAACATGCTGATTGGTCTACCTTTTGTGTATAGCTTTGTCATGAAAGACAAACCTAAGAAACAGTTTATTTTGAAACAGAAGGGAAAAAAAAAAGGGGGGGGGGGGGAAGTAGTTAATGATGAACTGAGAGCCACACAGCAGGCTTGCTGACATTCCTATAAAGATCCTTTATGGATGTGAAAAAGGAGGAGGAAAAAAAATGTGAAGTTCAGTCTGAAATCTTGGTGAAATAATTGTTGGTCCATTCATAAAGCTGCTGTGTTACTGGACCCATAACATGCTGATTGGTCTACCTTTTGTGTATAGCTTTGTCATGAAAGACAAACCTAAGAAACAGTTTATTTTGAAACAGAAGGGAAAAAAAAAAGGGGGGGGGGGTACTATTTGTTAGGTGTATACACAGCGGTGTAGTATGTTGGGCCAAGTATGGCCCAGTGCCAAGAAAACAAATGATAAATTAATCTAGATAAAGTTATTTTACCAACTCATTTAACTTGTATTTCTCTGCATTATTGGAAACCTGTAGTCAGAAGTAACAGCAGACTGCAGCTAACCTGTTCTTTAGGTACTTTCTAGCATGATGATTCGTTTTATCAATTACATTTGAATATCTCAGGGAATTAGGGAGAGTTCTAGAGATTAGTAGGCGGAGTATCACATTTTCATTTAGGTTCTGTGCCTATATTTATTGTGACCTTAGTGACTAAACCCTTTTTTTCCTGAGAGCTAGGCAGTAGCTAGACGTTTTTAGTGGTAAATGTGCCCTGTGTCATGAAATCATACAATTCGTGTTTTTAATTGGGAAATTAATTCTGTCCACAAAAGTGGGCGGAAAGGGATTAATCTATTTAATCAGACGTCACTTAGACACTACTAAAGATGACAGAAACTACAAAATGGGTATGAATAGGAGTAGTGGTTCTCTAG